TTTGTTTTTTTTTCTGTTCCCTGAGGGCAGATTGCGGAACCTGTTTAACCAGTTGACCTTTGAGGTTTCTGCCCTTTTAACTCTTTTTTTTTTTCCTTCCCTTAGGGCACACTGTGGACCCTGCTTAACTAGTTTAACCAGATGCTTGACAAAGGCAGTTAAGCCCAAGTTAAAGACTAGCACTTTCTGGTTCCTAAAGGGATTTTTTTCCCCAAACTCACTGAAAAAGGAAGCCCACTGCTATTTAGAGCAAAGTGGGGAGGGGCATTCATCCTGAACTACTTGGGAAAGGGGAAGGAGAGACTGAGGGTTGGGGAAAGAGAGTTTCCAGGCTTAACGCATGAGGGATTATTGGTCACCACTGCTGCCCTGGTCGGTCCTGCCTGAGGCAGTACTGGAGCACTGGGAAGCGAGGGTGACCTCCACTCTTGGGGCCACGGACATGAAGGAAGTGCAAGAGATCTGATTGTTTGCAGCAGACATGGCTAGAGAGGTCTGAGACTTAGCCGCCTTTGGGGCCTCAGGGTGGGTCAGGAAGTTGCATCTCCAACCTTCTGGTGACACCCGGAGTGCCCCGGCCAGAGCACTGTTATAGCTTAAAGACAAACTTTCCTTTCCACCAGCTGTTTCTGGACCTCCTCCTAAGCGGGTCAGATCTTGAAAGGGAGAGAGTTTAAGGAGGGAGGGAGCCGAGAGTTGAGAGGAAAAAGCCTTTGTGCATTGAAGTTTGGCTTCACCCCCAGCTGGCCCCCCATTTCTCTGGTTGCCTGCCCTACTGCGCTATAATGGGTTCGGAGCTTTTGCTCAGGTTCCTGAGGGAGAAACCCTCCTTAATGACAGAGAGAGAGAGAGAGAGAGAGAGAGAGAGAGAGAGAGAGGTCAGCCTAAGAGGTCCACCATAGCTAAGCTGTAGTGGTGGTGGGGGGGGGGTCTCTCTACTGGAAAATAGACTCCACTGGAGTGCCTGACTGTCACAGTCACTTCCTAGGCAGCCTTTTCCAGTTTGGCACAACGTGTACTGACCTCAGGTGAAGATTGGTCCCTTCGTACGTCACCAAATGTGATGCACAGATGACACGCGTAGGAATTTCAGGTGTTCAGGTGTTCAGGGTTCTTGGGTCTGCTCTGAGAATGAAATCACAGGCAGACTCCAGCAGCAGAGGTTGGAAAGATTTTATTTGTAGAGAAGAGAGGAGAGAGCTGGGAGTGTGGCTCAAGTGGTGGAGTACCTGCCTAGCAAGTATGAGGCCCTGAGTTCAAACCCCAGTACCACCAAAAAAGTAAGTAAATAAATGAGCTTGAGAAGAGAGGCAAAAAGCTGCATGAGGGGGCATACGGGGGACCCAGAAACTGGTGGTCCCATGGGTTGGGTTAGAGATTGGGTTTTATAGCCTTTTTGTGTTTTGCCTGAGGATGGAGATGTCTCAGGTGCAGACAGATGTTTCCTGGGAAGGAGAGGTGTCTCTTTGACCACTTATCACCTTTAGGGACCTCCTGCAGTCCATCCTTCAAAAGCATGTACAAATTAAAGGCTTTATTTTTCTTCCATGTGAAAAACCGGAGGTGGTCAGCCTGTGGTGTGGCATTTCATGATGTCATCAGGAATCTGGCCTATTTCAACTCTGCCATCCTAAGCTAGGGACTTCCATCCATTACATCTCTGTCCAGCATGAAGTAGAAAAAAATAGGAGAGGACAAAAAAGTTGGTCCCAGGGTTGGGGGGCGTGGCTTAAATGGTAAAGTGCCTACCTAGCTAACCAAGGTCCTGAGTTCAACCCCTAGTATCACAAAAACCAAAAAACCTTGGAGGTCCCTTTTAAAGATGCTTTCTCAAATGTCTCATCCGGCAGTTTGAGTTTATATGGTGCTGGTCTGAATATAATCCCATGACCACCCCAACTGTAAAGAAACCTGAGAAATAACAGTCTTTGAATTCCATACATGACAACATCAATCTGTGTTAGGGAGTTCTGTTATCAGAGGAGAGAGTGGATATCGGTTAGAAAAATAGTAACTTAAAAAGGAAATAAAAGAAACCAGAAATGTACGTTTCTACATGCTCAGGGTTTCTGTTTCTTTTGCTAGTTAAAGGGATCCAATGACTTTCATCATTTCCTGAGGCCTCAAAAAATCAGAGGGGCAGAAAGTATGAGTTCCTTAAACAGTTTGTATTACCAAAATCTCCCTCATTCCTTGCTAATTCAGGTTCCCTAATCTTTTGTTTGAAATCTACAACATTAAAGCAGTGCACTGTACCCTGTTTTGGTTTTCCTTAACTGTACCCTGAAGTTTGAGGCAAGCCCCTAGCTTTAAACTTCGTCTTTGCCTTTCATCAATAACTGCTTCATACGTATTGCTCTTCATCAGTATATTTTACCATAGTAAACCTTATTCCTAAAGTCCCAGCTGAATCAGACATAGTGGCTCAATCAGGAAGGGAAGTTGGGAAACCATGAAGAAGCATTGAAACCTTCCAGGAGCATATCATTTCTAGCATAGGGCTCCAGAGATTCATTCTTATAAATTGCTAGGGGACTCATACTCTCCTTCTCATTCCTCACTGGAGAGTTCACTGGATGCCAGGAACTAGAGACACAGCACTCAAAAAGGTGGGCTTTGTCCTTGTCCTACAATGGACAGACCACTGCCAACCCAATTGGCATTGGTTTTTATTAATAAGCATGCTAGAACTGTGAAAAAGATTTTACCCTATGTGTAAACTAATGAGTTAGTGTGCCCTTTTCATGGATGCTGGTGGTATTCTAGGCAGAGATGTGGGACAGGTTACTATAACCATAGCAAAGCCATTGTATTGACTGTTGTTTTTTGGTTTTTGGTTTTTTTTTTGCATCAGGTGTCTAAGCCTCAGTTCCCCTCAGGTGACATGAAGTGGTCTGTATGCCTTTTGCATACAAAGGAGGTTGCATTTTAAGACGGGAACACTGAATTTAGGAAACTCAAATCTCTTGTAATGGGTAGTAAGCATGCCTGCCCTTTGGTCTGGATGAAACCCTGTGTCTGTTACACAGACATTCTTGGAAAGACGGTCTGGAATAAAGGCAGTCAAATGATTCTGCTCACTAGATCTTCAGAAATTCAGGAGACTCTAGAGGGTTGTCTCCTAACAGAGGGTGTGCTCATGATTTTGTCTGTGCTTTAGAACACTGAATTTAGATCAGGTTCTTTGTAGTTAAGTCTGTCTGAGGTCATTTCATTCTGTTCTTCAGTACTACAGGTATCCCCTCATCCTGATTAACTGAGCTCTTCCATGCTGTCATCCACTTGGAAACCTGAAAAACAGACTGACAAAAAGGGTAGACAGTCTATTAAGTCAATATTAGCAAAAATAAATGAAGCTTTTTGTTCTCCTGTTCTACTTGAAAAAACTAAATGTTTTATACTAAAATCTTTTTGCTGTTGCCAGTTGAAATTTGAACTTACCTAATCTGCCCCCTTCCCCCAAATTTTCTTTTTATCCTAAAATTAAGGACAGAAAAGTTGGTTTATTTTTAAAGATGCTTTCTGAAAGCATAGACAAAAGTCCATGTGTTGGGGGCTTGGTCCTCAGTGTGGTAATGTTGAGGCCTACAGGGAAGTCCTTAGGTTATTGGGGGTCCTCACAAGGGATTAGAGTAGTTCTTATAAGAGAGTTGTTCAAGAAGCCTGGCCCCACTTTGCTCTGAGGCTTCCTGTTTGATGTGATCTGTTTTCACATGTGCTTCTGCCACTGCCACCTGCCATGAGGTGACCCAGGTAAGAGAGTCACATGGTGTTACCCTAACTGGGCCAATGCCTATTCTGTGCCCTTGGACCTCTTTATAAATAGCCTGCCTCAGTTATTCTGTTATGGTAATAATAAACAGACAAACACCCTATTCAACAAATAGAATATTACAAAGTAGACTAGTGAGAAAGCATAGCTAGTTCAATAATGTAAAAGGAAACTTCCAGAAAGACTGCTTTTCATAGGGATCAAGAACATTGAAAATGTTTATACCCTTTGACTTGGTAATTTCTCTTCTGTGAATCAAGTCTAAGAAATTGCAGGTTTCTTTTTAATGTATACACATTGATCAGTATAATAAGATGTGGTGTATTTCTGTGATTATTTGCTATGTATTTGTTTAAAATGAGGTTTTTTTTCTAGTATTTCTTATATGTTATGAAGGATTACTTATTGTATAATAATTGGCAAAAAAGAAGGACCATATTTCCAGGAAATTTAGTATATTTGAAAGATAATGCCTTCAGTTATAAACGGTGGCTAACACTGGTTGGTGAATTCTCTGTTATTCTCATTTTCTTTAGACTAACTGTCCTAGTGAATAATGGTAATTGGGGTGGGCGGATTGTGTTCTGTCTTTCCTTGCGTTAATAGTGCCATTCTGATGGAGAGTAATAGTGTCATTTTGAAAGCACAGTTCAGCATCCGGATTGTAGATTCCTTAATAGATAATGATGTAAGTGGAAGGACCAGCTTCTACTCTGCCTGCAGAAGCCGGTGTGCCCACAGTTAACAAGTTAAAGGTACCATTTGCCCATAGCCAGTCTTGGGAATTGATTGTAATATCCCCTGGATCTAGAGAAAAGAAGGGAGCTAATATTTTTATTGAAAATTCCTGTGAGCTGGAAGTTCATTTAATGTTCACAATAGCACAGTGTGGGATCTGAACGTATCTTTCCCCCTTTTACAGATGAGGATATTAAAAGAGAGATTAGGTATCCGCCTCAGAGTCATGTAGTTGATAATTGCCAGTATTGAAAGTTCAGCCCAAGAATCCATACTCCAAAGTCCACATTCTCCATTGCTGTCCTTCAGCAGGTTTTATAATTGTGGTATTTTGATTAGCTGGTGGGAAGCAAGTTTCGGCTGGTGGTTGTACTTAAGAGCACATTTATTATGGGTCAAAGTAAGGTGGGTGCCTGTCAATGCAAACATGTTTCCCAGCATTGAAATGCTGGCTCAGTCTTGTTTTTGCTTATTTCTTCTTTTTATTCAGATTGTAATCCATGTCCAGTCAGATATGTTGGAAACCCTGATAGAGATACTACAGAGTGCTGCAGAAGGAAATTTATCCAGATTTGTGAAAAGATACCAGTTCGCAGAGGAAGTGGTAAGTGTAAATGCTAGAGAAGTCTTTTAAAGTGCAGGGGCACTCTTAAAAATGCTGGTGTCTTAGTTCTGTAGCCACTCTTTAGGGAGATTGAAATATGGAGCCCTTTCTGTTGCTCCTATTTTAAAACTTTCACGTGTGAGTACAAAGAATTTTTTCTTCCAACAGAACATTTGAAATCTAGGAAACATTTTACTTTTGTGTTTTTTTTTTTTCCCTGCACTGTTTTCAGGGTCTAGTCTCTTTTTCTTGTGGATGACAATTTAACACCTTTTTCCTTCCCCCTGAAGCCTCTTACACCTTCTTCCTATTTCTCACTTCCATTTCATGACCTTGCTTCCCATTTGGTGGAGAAAATAGAAACAATCTAAAGAGAATGACTGCTTCTGGCAGTCATCGTCAATCTCTGGCCCCTCTCTTTATATGCCCATGGTGACTGTGCACCAACCTCTTGTGCCAGCCATCCCAGTTGTGCACTAGATCCCATCTGCTCTGCCCCACTCCAGGGAATCAGCCTAGAGGCTGTCTCACTCTTTTTTGAGCATCATCAGTATCTCCGTCCCCATGAATCATTCCTATCAGCAAATTACAGGGCATAATATCCCTCATCTTTAAAAAAATAGACAAACCATGTGTTTAGATACAAAGGCTCAACTTCATAAAATATCAGTTCTTCCCATGTTATTGTGATAAGGTGAGTGATATAATCCCAATTAAAATATCACTATTTTTTTTTCCTGTAGTTTAATTGCAAGAACAACCAAGAAAAAAATAACTAGGAAAATTCTATGAAAAAAGAGCAACAAGAGGCCAAACAGATAATAAAACATGTAAAAGCAAAAATGTAGGAAGATATGTATGTAAGGCAATTTGTTGCATGCCAACTTGTAGGGTAAAATACTGGAAACAACCCAGATTTCCATCTGTAGACTAGTGAACAAATTGGGGTATATTCATAGGAAGGACCGCTAAGTACCTCTACAAAGAAATGAGAATAGCTACAACATACGATACTGTGTCTCCCTTTCACTTACTAAGTGAAATGGCAAGGTACAAATCAGTGTGGTATGCTTTAAGTCATGAGCTGTGTCATGACATTTTATTCAACAACTGACCACTTATATAATAGTGCTCCCAAGATTATATTGCCTAGTGATGTATGCTGTACCATCTTGCTGTGACATTCATGCAAAGATGAAATTGCCTAATTACACATTTCTCAGAATGTATCCACATCACTGAGTGACACATACTCTACATATATTTGTATAATTAGATTTTTGAAAGACAGCTAAAACCAAACTTAAGCAAAACAATTAGCTATGAAAGAGTAAGGATAAGAATGGAAGTGTGACTTCTCAAAATGCATTTTGTTTGTGTATTTGACTTTGGAATGATGCAAATGCTTTGTTCCATGAAACAAATTTAAAGAAATCATGAAACAAAATTAAAGAAAAAGAACAAAGTAGTTCCTAAAAATGAAACAAATTATCCCCGTGCTACATTGAGAACTTAAGTACATAAGGAGGAGTTAGTGCTGATCATTTGAAATACAGTCATTTGCACATGTCTAATAGTATATAACATAAGGGGAAAAAGATCTGTGAAGATACAAATTACTGACAGTAGTCATATTGTTAGTGATAATACTGGTATTGTCATTTTGACTAACATAGTGCCTTTATTGTCTTGCCTGTGCCTTTATAGTCCTGGTCCAGGCTGATGGCAAAGATGGCAGGATTGGCACTGGGGGCAGCTGGCTGTTTTCTCCCTCGTCATGTTGTTACCTTCCCAGCCCTGTTCCATTTATTTCCTCATGTCAGCCCAAAGACTTCTTCCTACTGGCAAAGGGAGCATGTTAGGAGCATGATTTACTTAAGGCTTTTTCCTGTTTGAGGTCTTAGCTCTATGTAGGTTGTGGAGTAAGCTTAGAAAAGTAGGGGAACTAGAAATAGGAACAGATTTTAAAGCTTACAGTTGTGTGTGTATGTGTGTGTATACATGTCGGTACATGCACAAACCGAAGAGTGCCACAACTTCAGTTTTCCTTACCAGCATTGATGTTAATCATTGTTCCTCAGCCCTGTTCCCACCATTTATATGACTGAAGCATCCCATATTGGAAAACTCTGATATAAGACTCTTTTACTTAGAAAACTAACCCTCTACTTCAGCATATTCCCCTGGTTATTGTAAGACCACTCAGAGAATTGCTTGATGAGAAATGAATTGTTTCACACAACTCCAGTAGCTTTGGAACTGGTTCCGAATGTGTGTGTGAGAGAGATTGCATGTGGAATCTAGTATTGTAAAATTCTGCATTTTACAAAGTATGTGATGTTTATGCCAACATTTATAAAAAATGGGTTGTGTGAAGGTAAGACTACTGTACCACCAAAGGAGTATTGAAAAGAGGTACTGATTTTCTGTAATGCCAATACAGAAATCACTCAAACATGAGCTAATTCTTCATTGATTTCTTTTTTTGAATTAAAATAACAAACCATCATGAGACAGTGTCTTTTCTGCATAAATTATAGCATAGTTTTCATGATGCTTTAAGACTTCCATAGGGAGAAAGCCAATGTGGTAGACACACTTAGATCAAAGTTACCTCCCCTGGCATCTTTACTTCTTTTGGAAGCCGTGTGCTTCACAACCTGTTACTTCACATTGAACGTGAGTGCCAAACAAGCCATTCCTTTATCAGAAGATTGAGAAGAACTTAAGCTGCTTGTCTGCAGGTTTGGTCAGTAGTTCTTGACTGAGAGGAAGATGTGCATGGGTAAATAGAACTGTAATTTATTTTGAGGATGACCAAAGGATTTGTTAGGAAGCTCAATCCCACTTAAATTCCATTAAGAAATGTTGTTACATTGTATCTTTAATAAAGATTGAACAAGGTAAAATGCCGCATTTGTTCAGAAGTTTCAGTAGCTTCATGTTCTGATTTTAAACTCGTCCACTTTTGTAGCATTAAATGCTAGATACTTATTGCTATTGTTCATCCCTCTGGTCTAGACCTCTGTTCCATGTCCCATACCTGTATATCCAACAGACTTCTAGATGTGTCTGCCTCATTGTTTCTCTGGTGTCTCAGTCACATCTAAAAATAGAACTGTTAATTTTCCCCTCTGATAGTGGCCTTCCCCTGCTTCTCCTTGTCAGCAAATGACAGTATCTGTCATCAAATTAAAAATTCAAATTAAGAAGGTAACTTTGACACCTTCTTTCCTTTACTCCTTCAACAGTTAGTCCTTTCAGTTTAACTTCCAAAATACACCTCACCTTAATCCACTTCATCTTTTCTGTACATTTCCCACTCTGAATCACATTGTTTCTCTTTCTAGCGCATAATGGGGCCTCTGGGACAGTCTCCACGTTCCTGTTCCTCTGATTCGTTCTCTATACAGCTTCTTAATCCTGAATCAGATCTTGGCGCACTTTAGACCGCCTGATGGTTTTTGAGATAAATCCCAAAAAGCTAACCATGGGCTGTATATAAAGCCCTTTCTAATCATGATATTGAATAAAGTTGATTCCATTGATACTGGATATCCTTTCCCTGTTGTTATACATATACCATGTGCCATTTGAACTCCATTTGATAAGATACTAAGATTTTCAGTACTAATTCTGAATTTCTGTGTAGCTGGGGGAATCTCTTACAGTTCAGCATGCTTCTGTCCTAGTCTTCATCGCTTTGGTGTGCACTGTACATTTTTATGCATGTCTGCCTTTGCCTTTTAGCAGATAAGAAGAATAAGGAAAGAATCTTGTAAAGATATAATGACCTGATCTTACTTTTTTTCCAGCTGACCAAAGTGAGAGAAAAAGTGAAGCATGTACCCACCCTTATGGCCAAATTTGATGAGATCTATGGGAAACTGCAGATAAATGGCCAAGTCACCACTTACACTTTGGATGCTCTGCTTTGCCACACCCCCAAGGACAGGAAATCTCACACATTGCTATTAAACAAGAGTACTGTCAGCCGTCGGACCTTTCAGCCCCTCAGCCAGTCCCTACTGGCCGAGTAACCTTATCTGCATCCTTCCTCTGGATGCAGTGGTCCTGAGAGGTGAGGTATCTTACTTCAGTGGACGCTATGCTAGCACTTGATCTCCTCCCTAAGTCCCAAGTTCACTGAGCAGTGGTATACCAATCAGAATGGTTATGATGCTGTGAACATCTAGATCAGGCAGAGAAACATCAGCTCCCTCCAGAGGGAGGCTCCCCGGTGTCAACTGAGGAAAGAACAGGGTTACGGTCTCCAGGGCAGCTTCTGGCCCAGAGTGAAACCCCCTAAGTACCATCAGAAAGGAATTTCACTAAGCCTGGTCAACCCCGACTGATTTTTCAAGAGAGTAATTACTTACAAGCTATACCCTTGCTAAATTTAGGAGATCTGAAACCCTATTCTACCATGTTGGGAAATAGCCAAGGGTTTTTTCAATGCTCTGCCATCTTGTATCTCTGTGACCTAAGCAAGGTACTTAAGTCCTCATTTTTCCATTTGCAAAATAATAGTGCCTGTGTGTACTTGCATAATGACTTGAAATTTTCATTCAAGGTTCAGCAGAGTCAAATTTTCTAAGTAAGAAAAATAAACAGGTATCTGAGCAAACTTCCTGGGATTGTCTTTGTTTTGTTTTCTCAGCAGCATAAACAAAACCAGAATTTAACTTTCAGAAATGATAAATATCTAATCCCAGCACTCAGGAGGTAGAGGCAGGAGGATTGCCAACCTGAACTTCATAGTGAGACCCCATCTCAAAAATAAAGAAATGATAAGGCAAATTTAGGTGATTAATGCTTTGATTATAGGTAAGCCATGTGCTTTCAAAAATAAATGCCACTAAAAACCGTATAATACTTAGTTTTCTATGGGGATCATAAATATTTGGTCCTGTATTTCATCTCATTTGTTAAGGATTTTCTTTTTTTCCTTGGGTTTCTTATTATTTTGTGTTATGTTATAAATGTGTCATGTTAGCTGGTCATAGCCTCCATGATGATTTGAAATGCACCATATGGTGAGTTTTGCATATCTGGTCACTGACCAGTAACCCCATCTCAGCCGTGCCTTTTGTTTCTGAAGGCCCAGAGTGATGTTGAGCCTAGCAGCACACACCAGGGTGTTTCAGGCTCTTCAGTGCTGCTTTTAAAAATGAAGGCTGTTCACTTTATTACTATCCTGTGGAAAGAATTGTCCATAGACAGAAATTCTAGAGTAGAAGGAATCTCTTGAGTGTCCTGACTACCTCCCTTACCTTTCAGGGTGAGGAAAGGACTTGTCCACACTGGTGTAACTGATTTGTGGTGGAGCTCAGTTAAAATCTAGATTCCTAGTCTAGTGTCCTTCCCACTGTGCCACATTCTGTCTCTTCACAGGGGAAAGGAGACTTTCTTAAGAGGTAGAATTCTAAGGACTCCCACCATTTACTGTGTGGCTTGCTCATTTGATAAACAGGATAATGGTACCTACCTCATAGGCTTGCAGACATGAAAGTAAGGCAGGCAGACATGCTTGGCACTAGGAAGTGTAGACCAGCATTAACTATATACCACCTCAGTAGGTAGCATTCAGTATGTCTGCACCTCACTGAGGAGCTACATAGATAAATAAATCCCTGGTCACCATGTGGTGTGCACATTTGGCTTGGATTATCACTCAACTTTCAGAATTAAGTGATTCCTGGCCAAGAAACAAAAGCAAAATCGTCCCATTCCCCAGTGGCTTCAGATGAAAACTGATAACAAAATCAAGTACAACTCTAAGAGCAGACACTGGAAGAGAACCAAGCTGTGTCTGTGAGGAACTGTGAGAGATGACACATACTTAAGTTCTTTCGTGCTCAGCGATTGTCTTAGCATCAAGCTGAAATGTCAACACTGCCTGGACAGTTGGGTGTTTAAATTGGAGATCTGATTTTTCTTTGATTACCTTAAGTATGGCTCAGTAATAAATATGCAAAACCTTTGGAAAGAATAAATAAATGAGTTCCTCCTGCTCCAAAATATCAAGAGAATTCCCTTTGTGTGCTCTATGAAGCTTTAGACAGCCCTGTTCAAAAAAACAAATTTTCTGCCTTCATGGAAGCTTAATAGCTTCAGTGTGTATCCAGTGTTTTGTAAAAAAAAAAAAAAGTACTTGAAGTATTTGTATTTCTTTACCTTCAAGTCTTAGGGAATAATAAGCATACTATCTATCTCCCAACTTATCTTTTTTCTTTTCTAACATTCACAAAGAGCATTTAAATGGTTGTAATGCCAGAGGTAAATATGGTCCCGCTTGTTAGTTAACAATAACAACAACAAAAAAAAAACCATGAGCAATAGATAGCAGCTTTCCCTATCCTGCTACCCTGAGAGGTTGGTGACTGTAGCTCTGCTGACTACAAAAACTGAGCCACTCCATCTGTTCCTGAAGTCTCAGTAATAATGTACATAATGGTCATCTCAAAATAATGGGGGATTCTAAAGTCTTAACACCATCAAAGGATCAAGCATGGGTAATGGTGGGCATTTCATTCTCTAAAATTTGGTAATCTCTTTGAAAAATGTGGTTCTTTTTAATCAGTAATTTGTCTAAAACATTACTTATTTTATTAATGAAAATATTTGGGCTGGAGTCCTAGCTACTCAGGGGGCAGAGATCAGGAGGATCGTGGTTCGAGGCCAGCCCAGGCAAATAATTTGTGAGACCCTATCTCACAAAGACTGAACGCAATACAGGGCTTTGGAGTGGCTCAGTGGTAGAGTGCCTCCCCAGGAAGCATGAGGCCCTGAATTCAAACTCCAGTATTGCAAAAAAAGGAAATATTTGTGCAAAATACCTTATCCTTCAGCTCTGTTGGGTGTCTTTGTAAACTGTTTTTATTTCTTGTGGATGTCTGTTGTCCAGAATCCAAACATCAGGATGGTGAACAGTAGTTACGAGAAAGAAATGAAAAGATAACTCTTTAATTAGCAACAGTGCTTCAGGTATCTATCACTGTATCAGAAGTACTCCAAAGCTAAGTGCCTTAGAACACCAATCATTTTATTACTTCTTATTATCCTAGGAATTGGCTGGAGTCAATGAGGCAGTTTTACTCAGGGATTCATGCAGGTGAAACCAGCTTATGGCTAAGACATCGGTCAGCTCCAAGGCTTCCACACTTAATATTTCTGGCATTTGATGCTTGTGCCTCAGCTGAGGCTGGGGCTACACAACCCTTCCTCACAGTATGGAGGCTAGGGACTAGGAATGAGTGTTCCAAGAGGACCAGGCAGAAGCTTTTGTTACCTTATGTGGCATGGCCTCAGAAATCACATAACATCACTTCCACTAAAAATATATCTACCCAGATTCATGAGGAGGGCGCATACTTCCCATCTTCCAGTGGTGGGAATCCCAGTGGATTTATGGACATGTTTTTTAGCTCACATAGTTTTTTCCAGCAAGCTCTTTGACATTTTCTCCTTTCTCATTACTGTTTTACTAATTAAAGCCACAACCATTAGGCATCTTTCAGCTACCTGTGCTGCAGCTGTAGTGAGGTTATCAAACCAGTTTGCCTTTCCCTTCTTTAAAACCTCTTGAGGACTTCTGAGATCCTCTGGATAAAGCTCAGACTTAACATGGCTTAGAAGCCCTTCATAAGCTGGTCCATATTTTTCCATCCAGCCTGTTCCTTGCTCCTCCTTACCTGTTCCCCGCCCTTATTGACTGACTCACTTCTTCTTAGACATCCTTTTACTTGGGAAAACTTTCTGAACCCATCTACTCCATTAAGTCTCAGTCAGGTGAACCACCTATGTACCCCTATTGTACTTATCAAATCACTTACCATATTCCCATCCCTGCCTGTTTTCTGTTCTTCACTAGACCTGGTATCCAATCCTCACAGATTGCCCAGTACCTAGCACAGTAGGGGAAATGTATCACAGAATTAGGATTTAACTTACTCATTTAACAATATTGTGTAATGATAGTGGTCATCATGATCCTCCACCTACACCTTTTTCTCTCCATTGCCATTCATTGAGTGCTGTCGTCTGAATATGTTCCCTACAAATTCATGTGTTGAAACTACTCCCCAAGGTGATGGAATTAGGAGGTATAGCCTTAGGGAGATGATTAGGTCATAAGGGTGGTACCTTTGTGAAGGGTATAGTGACCTTACAAAAGGGGCCCAACAGAATTTGTCTCTCTTGCCACACAAAGACAGAAAGATGGTGATACAAACCAGAAGGCAGCCCTCACCAATACAGATCTGCTGGCACTACATTCTTGGACTTCCCCGCCTCCAGAGCTGTGAGAAATAAAGTCCTGTTATTCAAGCCAATTTGGCATTTTATTACAGCAACCCAAATGGACTAAGACTCACTACCAAGCATTCCACATTTAGTCCTGACTCCAAGCTTTTGCTTAGTCCATGATGTATCCTTTTTAACCCTTGCCTAAAATGCCGTCACTCTCTCCACACATCCTGTCTTCCTGTTTTGCAAGGTACAACTTGGGTCATCTCTTCTAGGAGGCTTTTCCAAGCTATTGAAATCCACATTCTCCATTCATTCACCAAGTCTATAATGAACATCTATGAAGGACAGGGGACTGTGAATGACACTTAAAATGCCTGGGGAAAAGACAGACAAGCTCCTTTTCCCAAAGCAGAGCTTTTTTAGTCAGCCATGTTGACTAAGGAAGGTTTACTTGTGGCTTCGGTGTGTGGTACTTCTTAGAGTAATCAAAGTCCTACTGAAGAGTCGACTTCATTGTGAAAAGGACCAAGCCTGGGTAACTTTAGTCAACAGGTTGGTTGAGGATGACCTCTCTTTGTTGTTTGTTTGGTACTGCTGGAGTTTGAACTGGGAGCCTTGTATTTGCCAGGCAAGTGCTCTTCCGCTTGTGGGAAATGATAGTGAGAGATAAAGATTTATCTGCTATAATTCAGATAGGCAGAATTGTAGATTTCTCTGTTCTTCGCAAATGAACTAAAATTTCTTAGGAATTCTGGTTGTATAGAGAACCTGAGAATGGGAGACTTGATGTTGAAGTCTAAGTCTACTTTCTTTGAGGTAAATGTTCAACCTATTTTGTTTTGGTTTTTGAGACAGGGTCTCCCTATGTAGCCTAAGCTGACCTTGATCTCACCATCCACCTGGGTCAGCTTCCCAAATTGCCTTCCTGCCCAGGAGGCACATCTTTTTGGGGTTTTTGGTTTTGTTTTTTGTGGTGTTGAGGATCTAACTTAATTAACTTAATGCATGCTAGGCAAGTGCTCTACCTCTGAGCTATATATCCCTAGCCCCATTCAATTTTTTGGATGTCATCCAAGATGACAGTTGAGTATACGTCTGTGGTTCTTACATTTTAGCATACATCAAATTACCTGGAAAGCTCCATTAAAATTTAGGTTCCTGGGGGTTCCACTGCCAGTTTCTGATTCTGTATATCTGAAGTGAGGCTCAGGAATTTGCATTGCTAATAAGTTCTCAGTTGATGCTGTTAGAGATGAACTGTAAG